TTGCATCTTTTGGACTTTTTCACATTTGTTCATTGGTACAAAGTATTTATCTACACATTTTTTTTTAAGTTTGTCCATGTGTATTTATTTAAGAAGACTGCCAGGTGTAAATAATTTAAAATGATTAAACATTATAATAATTTTCAAATAATGTTTTTCAATCAAATTATGGCACTTCTTATGATAATTGACAATATCTCAGAGCAACACTCATTGTAAAATTCAAGGGGAAATATTTGGGAGACTGTGGAAAATATGTGGTCTAAGAAATGTGATAGTAGTAAGTTTTATCTTTAATGCTTTTAAGACTAATGTTTTTCTGTTTATATTTCTTTCAACAGAGCAGTTGAAGGGAAAAAGTAAGAAAATGCATGCAAAGTCTATTTGCGTGTGGTGTGTGCTGTTTCTTTCTACTGCTATAAACTGGATTGCTGGTGTATTTAAACTTSCAATCTTGAATGTACTTGTTCTATGTTTTATGCATGTGAACTGTTTTGTTTTGTTTTGTTTCTGGCTTTTTCTTTCTTTCTTTCTTTTTATTTTATTTTATTTTTTGTCAGAATGAAGAATACATGGCCTGCAGGGTCAGAGTGACCTGGAAAGCATAGCCAGCTTTTTTATAACCTTTTTTTTTTTTTCCCAACTCTGGCAAACACTTAATAACACTATCCACAGTTTTGTTACAGAAAATATAAACATGTTGCATTAACCCAAATGGTCTTAAAGTGTGTGTAAATTTAGACCTTATAATTTTGTCAGTTCTCGGTTCTTAGAAAATACTGACTAGAAGTTGGTTTCCAGGTTAGTTTTATGACCTAATCCCTATTGTCTTTCTTCTTGTAATACATAAATATTTGACATGTGTAAACAATATATTACATTTTGTCTGTGATGGGATTTTCTCCCTATAGGCACTATGAACTCTGTGTAATAACATGGCTTGGCATCCATATCTTAGGCATAGTTCAATGCTACTTTGACACACCATTAAATTTGGTAACTATTCAGTAAAGCTCAATGCCTTGAGGTTGTGTCTTTTGCAAACATGTATTCTCCTCTGAAGAAAATAGGAGATATTTAACAAATCAAAATTAAAAAATAAAATTCACCCTACTCAATTAGCTATTAAAAATTAGCACCATTCCAGGACTATATAGTTCTTAAGRTCCCACTGGTATTAAAAACATTAGCTTTAAAGTATACACCATTTAAAAAAAATGCTTATGTATGTTTTAGCCCTATAAAGTTAGGACTCTGAGACATTCAATGTCATGAAAGAGCTCTAAAATGTCCTGTAGGAGGAATCATGAAATTATGCTACAACCCAGCCAGAGGGAGCAATTTATCTATGGAGAAGTGTGTGTTTGTTCAGCATCAGATTTATGAGTGTACACAGCTGCTGATGAGTTCTGGCACAGGGATACAGAATCTACTCCACAAACAGGAAAATGGAGGACAACTGGAGATTTTAAAAATGTATATATATATATATATATATATCCTTAAGGCCTTCACTTTATTGCAGTTTATATGATTTAAAATGTCCTGCAGACACATGGCAGCTCCTTGGCAATCTTCAGGGCGTTGATGTATTTAATAAATAAACATGACTTTTCAGGCCTTCATTTATAGCACAACCCATACCCTCCTTGAGAAGTTCCACAGATGTGACTTGGGAAATCATTAGCAGAATAAATTGTTTTCTTCAAAACAGCTATGAATTTTTTTCCAAATTAACTTGTTTGTTCTGATTTGTCATTTAGACTTGCTTTTGCTATTGCTATTATTATGCGTTTGAATTTGATTTGGATTTATTTTCAAAATTGCTGCATTTGATGTTRTATTCTAGCCTTATATTCTGTTTCCACTTTTCTTTTTAATTAAATTTAAATTTAATTTAATTTCTTTTGAATTAAAAATTTATTTTCTATGTATTTATAGATTGATTGTATGTCCTCCTCTGAGAAGTGTCTATTGAGGTCCTTGGCCCATTTATTGATTGGGTTATTTGTTATCTTATTGTCTAATTTTTTGAGTTCTTTGTATATTCTGGTTATTAGGGCTCTATCT